AGGCGAAAAAAGTGATTGTCGTCCACATTAGAATATATACATATACATGGGCCAAAGATGGGCCAAGACGGGACGCTCTCCTGGAGAAAACAGCCTCTGATTTGGTGGAGAATAAAAGCAACACTACGTCAGCGTTCCAGGACACGAAAATTGAAAAAAAATTGGAAGTCTGCACAAGTGATTTCCGGACACACCGTAGAAAGATTTTTTATCTTCCAGGGAATCTAGTGCAAAATATTTTATAAATTCAAGCCGTTGCCTTACAGGAATTCCCTGAAGCATTTTATAGGTTGGCTGGCATCTACCAAACTCGTTTTTGGCTTTTACTTGCTCCTATTTTACCCTTTAGTGAATTTTCACTGAAATCGTTGTCCGCTCTCAAATTTCTCTTGACAAGATTAAAGCTTCTGATTAATGAATGGACACAGGCTCATGTGCTCACCTGGGAAATTATCGGAAAGCTAGATGTTACCAAGCTACCACCTTTGTTTTGGATAAAATTAGGTAATGGAGTCACTGTCGCATCTACAAGACTATATTTTCGAACGAAGCGTTTACCAGGCACTCCAGAAACAGTATAACAGATGAAATTCGGTCATTCCATTGAAGAAAATCTACCCTGACTTAAATCCTTCCTTGCCTGTCTTCTGGAGACATCGATCAATACAAACGCAAGTGGAACGTGAATAATCTATGCCAGGCATCTATCTCCCGAGGACAAGTAAGCAGAATTGAGAGGAAAAAACTCATACCGGATGTTATCTTTTGTTCTATCAGGCTACAAGTAAGCTTTAAAATTACCACGCAGTTGCAGTATGTTCCCGGACTTCAGCTGAGACAAAAGTTTATCTGAATTACCCAGCTGTGCATAGGTGTCTGCGACTATTTTAATGATAAGTTGCTCAAATTTGACGAACAACTTTGAAAATATGCGGGCTTGACCTGCATTTCTCAATTTCATTTGGGGCCAACGTCAATCTTCGAAGAAAACAATTCACGGAAATAGTTGACAGCTACTCTGTGTAGATAGAAAACTGGTGGGGTTTGCTCGTACTGAACTCCACGAAAAATCACCTCATTTGATTTAGGATTTTCATGATAGCTGTATTCTGCAAATTAACAGACGTTTTCTCAAGGTGACCAACAGCACGTACTACTGTGAAGTTTGATGGCCCCGGTCAACTTTGACGCTCCTAAGAGTTGAATCTCTTACGTGAGCAGTGCCAAGCTAGACAGCGTGACCACTGGTGGAAACAATCAGTATTATTACATGGAACGGGAGTTATTTTTATCAGGATGTCTTACTCAACCATTTGAGCACTTTTTTAATGATGTGTGCCTTAAAAACATCGGTATTAAATTAAGCGATATGTTGAAATTTCACGGGTGTGCTCTTGTTCCGTCAACATCTGGTATGATTCGGTCGGGCGTCATCGTGAGTTTCAAGCCAGAGTCATTCGCGTTCTGCCGACCATCATGTTTAGTCCGCACCAAAACACTGCCTATGGGAGCTCATCAGCTGCGATGTACCTTTGACCGCGCAATAATAGGATATGGCAATTGCGAAGCGATCTTGGTACCACAATCATTTGCGCTGAACCAGATTAGGTATATCTAGTGTGATTTGTTGCTTAACCTTGCATGCTGCACGCCTCTGAGTTATCACGTCTCAACAGACCAAAGTGTTCACACTTGAGTTATTTAACTGGTTTACCCGACGAATGCATCGGAGGCTCAATAGCTATCCTGGGGGCATGGAGGCTTGAAACCCGCTGATCAATTGCGGGAGTTTTCCGGAAGCTTTAGATGGAACCTAAATCAGAACTGTGAACAAACCACTTGATGGCTTCCACGCTACAGAACTATCAGTGAGAGTTGATGATTGAAGACCATGATTTCCAGCTGAGGTTCAGGGATCAGAAGAAGAAAGAAATCACTCAAACAGCTGTCTGATCCCTTTCTTTATTTGCCAGTCGAGTTTGTCCATCCGTAGAAACCCTACTGGCATCCACAGAAACCTGAGGACATAATTCTGTCATTCATTCACTATTCAGGGCGGTTGTCCTTAACCCTTTTCTCAAACTCACCCCTTACGACAGATCAGATAGTTCTCACATGTCAAACCAATTCGCGATAGACCTTCATTTATTTAATTTTTACGACACGTACTGGAATTTTACGCTTTCAACGTAAGTTGGTTCGTAATCAATAACCTGCTTCCATAGTTTTGCATTGTGTTGGACGCTAACTGAGGTGGCCTTGCTGTTTACACTCACCGGGACTTTAATAGTTGGGGTTTTAATGAAGAGAATCATTTACATGGCGTACTAAGCGTCAGTATAGAAACATCTTATGGTTCCAAGTTGACGTGAAAATCCACTTCATTTGTGAGGTGCAGTGGTAAGCATTCTAGGGGCGGTGGCATATCCGCGGATAGGATAGAGAATGTTTAAGGTCAAAACACCAGGACTTTGAAATACAGTCGTAAAAATTCATTGGATTAGTATTAGTACCGGTCTCATACCATTTTTCTCGTTTTCCCTCGTCTTGCTTCAGAAAGGAAATGTAACTTAGGCAGTATGGGGCTGCATCCCCTCATACCAATACTGTACGTACTTTCGACGATAGAACAGAAAGCGTTTACTCTCTGCACGTACGTCAGGCCATAATATCGTTTTCAACCTTTGAGTTTTGCGACTCCGGCTCCATTAAATTCTCACAGGCTGTCAGAACGGGGGTTGCTCCTCCAATTATGCAGCAAATTAATGCACTCAGTTAATCAATACTGGACGTTGGACTCTGCTAAGTCTCTGGAAGTCAAGTGTGTTGAGTATTCCCCCCCACATTAAGTCACACGACTCAAACACTGCTTCGCATAACAGCACATGGGACAACTAACTTTCTGTATGCTTAAGATTGATTGAAATAACTTATGAAGTGAATTACAGCGGCCAGTTTATGCAAACATCAAGACTCGGTTAAAAAAACCGTGGATGGTCTTGACTTCTGAAGTCTATTTTCCGGATATTGTTTCGAACTCTCAGAGATTGCTCAGAAGACTAGATTGATTCCGATTAGTTGTTATGAGAAATTGTCGAACCAAAAAAATATCGGAACGCTGTAGAGATGCTATCAGTAAGAGCACATTTAGAGTGCGCTGTCTTCTTTGAGGGACGTATATAAAACAAATCAGTGAGCTCCAGTCTGACGAATCCACCACAGGATCTCGAACATTCCGTTATAGAAGGAAAGTTCATACTTAAAACTCTATATTTACAGATACTTGTTGCAATCCATTCGTTGATCACTCCTCGGTGAAGAACAATACCAAGACCATTAGTACCAAACGAACTAGCGAGTTATTCAATAGGCACTTCCGGTTACGTTCACTAGAAATGCAAAATGACAATATTCAAAGCTTTGATGCTCACAAACTGCTACACATTGACGTAATCCTACAGACCCCGATTGTTCTCATAGTTTTAAAATTCACATCGACACTAGTTACACATAACTCCACTGCTGCGTCCACTTTTTCAACAGTTCATTCCATCTTCAGTCACTTTAGACTACGGGCTCTGCCAGATATATTGCAAGCGATTGGGTGCTCCTCACTTTTATCTCTTGTACAGTAGAAAAAGTCGAAACGATGAATTATTTCCGCCTCCACATTTCAGCGTCCATCACGGCTCCGTTCTATCACGTTTCCTTTTTACACGTGCTTTGTTGATGGCCTTTCATGGTTAGGCTGTATACGTGTGTCGAATGTGTAAAATTCACTCTCTGATTCCGGTGTTCTACAAGCTACAGATGCATGTGGACTGCTTCTCCTCTCTGGCGAGAGGAGATTGTGTTTAAACCCTGATAAGCGTAATTACTGGCTTTATTCGATGGATGAACAGCACATCAATTGTATCTTGGTGAAGTGACGGACAACACAGGATGATAAAACCACTGAATGAGTATTACATAGTAGACTATGTTTGTCTAGTTGAGGCTACTGTGTTATCGATTGAACGGATGTGAACGCAGACAAGTAATACTATTAAAAATGTCATATTCGAGAAGTAAATACTCATAGGGCCCAATAACTCAAACAGCATAACTGATGTCTCACGGATGTTGCAGGTCGTGCTCCCAAGGTCGCCAAAATACTGTTTACTTACGAAAATGTTTGGTAAACGAATCTGAAAATTTTTCGCAATATAGTGACTACAATCAACTCCCACTTCCGGTCATCCTTTCTCACAACTCAGGTTGATAACCATTGATTTAAGGTGATTCTCAAACTAGCGAAGTGTAGATCTATTCCGATGAGTGATTCAGAACTAATGATTTCCGGTTAATAATCTTTGGTCCTCACACAGAATCGACCCGTACAAGGTTTCGAGCGTGGGACAAGTAAAACTGATACGGACAAGACCAAGCACAGAAACCATTGACTGGATACACGAACGGGTATTGTGGTACGAATCAACGCCGCAACAGGTTTATATGTCGTCAACTCCATGCATGGTATCTTCTCTTCAGTGGCTTGAAGTCTTGACTGTACTAATTTTGTGGCAACATCGTCCATGAACTACAGCGTCAGACAGGCTATCCTTTTTAACACATTCGGCTTCAGTTCTGTTTGCGGTTGTGTTGCTCTATAAATGTCATATAAATGCCTTATAAATGTCTACGGATAGGTGCACTGTTGCAAGTTTCTTTGCAACAAACCGCACTATTGGCAGCGTGTACACAGCGTACAGTCCGTTTGCTCGATAGTCTTACAAGCGAACTCTCGCGTTTCTTGGAAATAAGCTAGATAAGCTGGATTACCGTTCCGTTCAAGTGAGTTTCTTCTGGATCGAGAATTCTATGGACCCATTAGCATAAATTATTAGTTACACATCTGGAAACGTGAGCTCTTTCCACAACTAAGCCTAGTGTTTGAATTTAGTGGCTTGTGATAGGCCGGAATTTTACAGTGTTCCATTGTTTTGGCTTACACCCTTCAGTTCATCCCAATGTCACTTAGCTGGAGACGCTATTCGGCAGTCCAACGGAATCATAGGTGCTCCTGCGGAATGGGAAGACGGTCGAATCACAGTCTGATAAACTCGTTACTTGCTAGTCGCATGTTCTTAATCAGTTATGCTTTGTCAATCTGCAAAGATTCTAAGGGTTTTTAGCGAATATACACTCGTTTGCAAACTAATTTGTTTTTTCGAGATACTCACCTGGAACCCAACTGAATCTCTCGTTTGTGATGTTTTCAGGCAACTGAATGTGCTGCACCAGGCCGCCTCATGTTTCAGTCACCATGATATTCGAGATATCGCGATACATGTATATCTTTGTAATGTACTTTCGTAGCGCCTGAAACATGAGGCGGCCTGGTGCAGCACATTCAGTTGCCTGAAAACATCACAAAC